GCGTGTGTGTGTGTGTGTGTGTGTGTGTGTTGCCTCCCTTCTATCACTCTTGCCAATGCGTGGGGCACAGGCTCCTTCTCTCTTGCACTATCAAGGCCTAGTGCACGCCGAATTCAAATAGTGAAAAAAAACATAAGTAAACAAAACTCACAAAAATTAATTTAACTTGGTAATCGGGCGTTAAATTGGGTTCCTCGCGTAACGTATGCTAATTTTGGGTCGCTGATCACGAAAATCTTATTATTTCTTAAATTTGGCCAATATTTAAGAAATTTTTGGAAAGCATTTTTAACTCCGCCTAGGCCAACATCAAGGAAGCCGCCTTATGCGCCGGATCAGTCCCGTCCTGGTGCGGTGTCTGTTTTGAAGCAAAAAACTCGACTGTGGGGTGGGACAGCCCTAGGCCTATCCCACAACAGGACTGTAATAGTGCAGTAGAGATTTAGATTCTTGCCTCGATTCTCGGAGTCTAGGCTAGGAACCAGGCTAAAAAAAAGGAGACGGGAGGCGTTGACCCTGGGCGGACTCGAATCTTAGAGTCTGGGAACAAGATCAATTCTTTGAGTCCTCATTTGGACTCGAAAGAATCGATCCCAGAGTCGATCTTGCCCTGGCCTAAAAAATAACACATAGGTATCGATGTTTAGAGCAGGTATACCGATACCGATACCTATAGGTCTAAGTATCGAGTATCTAGTATCGATAACTGCCCGTCACTTGAAAGCACAGAGGTCGCGATGTGATGGGTCCTTTTTGTTTCGTGTTTTTCTTCTCATTGAAAGGGGAAATACACGAGTACAGCTCACTACACTGACTTCAGGCACAGAAAGCTTTATTTCTCGATCGTTCGTACTCGTCAGATGTGTTGTTTACATGTTCTCTAGACCTATCCTACGTTACTGATCTGATGCGTGTTGGGATCTGATTTTTTTCCTCCCCGTGTTGCACGGGATTTGTGAAGTTCACAATTCAGGATCCTCGACTCAGGTCTTGTAGCTATTTCAACGCGGATCCTCTCCGTGTGCAGACGTGTGATGCAAGCGGCCTCCGCGGGGACGTCTTCTGGTAAATACATTATTATTAATTGTGTTTTTATACATTATTTGTGTTTCGACGCGGTGGAATCGGGTGCTCGTCGATTGAAGACCTTAGAACAAAACCAAGGCCAAGTCTCATTTAGATCTCTAGATCCAGAGCTAGATATCTAGATCTAGAATCTAGATCTAGATAATTTCAAGAAAATGAGCAAAAACCTCATTCGTGAGATAGGGTAGAGGGTGCATATTCCGACACTGTGTGCTATTCCGACACCCCTCGTGGGGTGCACTCCAAAAACAACGAAAGGTGCGGGAATACAACCAGTAGGCTAGAGAGCCGACACTTCCCCCGAATGTGCATATCTGGGTCACCAGCTGATCGTGGAGAAACGCGCGGTAAACAATACAAACTGCGTCCATTGTTTAAGGCATTTTCGTTGATCGCAGACAGACAAGCATGACCCCAGTTCGCACGAAGTGTTAATGGTGTTCTGCTATAAACTGCAACAATTCCAGACACAAAATTCCAAATCTGAGTTTCTTTCGATTTCCAAAGGATGATGAAAGGTAAGATTGCCTGCTTAAAAGTAAGAATATTTTGACGAATAGAAATTATATAGGACCAAAATAATGACAATGTGATTGTGGTCCGACCAGACTGACACTCTATGCATAAACTTAACACACTTCAACTTTGTTTATATCAGTCTTTAGGCTATCAATTGCTTTTGTGCCGCTCTAAATGCCCAAATTGAGCTTGCATTCTACTGGTGAAAGATATGTTGCCTGCGAAAAGTTCAGGTGCCGTCTGTCGGTTTGGTACTTTCTTTGACGATTACCACTTAGGCTATTGTTTGGCTTTATGTTTTTGTGTGTGTGTGTGGGGGGGGGGGGGGGGGGTTATGTTGCCGATCCCCTGGAACTCCTTATGAGGTAGATCTATCTATCATTATTACTTCATGTGATTTTTGATGACCTGAAATTGTATGTAACAACACACTCTTCATACGTTTAGGAGATTGTTTTATTTGTTGTTGTAGTTTTTTGTGGGGTTTTTTTTTGGTGGTATTTTTATTGGTAACTCTGTAATGATAGAAGGAGGGCGAAAGCAGGGAGCCCTGCGAATACACCCAAACGGCCCTTGGTAATGAATCATTTGTAAATTGAGAACCCTCTAGGAAAGGTTCCGGTATTCCAAACATAGTTTTGTACTTTTACCCAGGGTTGGGTTGATTTAAATCAGTTGATTTTTTAAATTTAAATCAACTTGATTTTTAAAATAAAAATAAATGATTTAGATCTAGATTCTAGATCTAGATCTAGATTTTAGATCTAGATCTTTTTAAAAAATAAATTTTTATTCAGTTTTTACATATTTCAACATTCAGAATTCCTTTCCTTGGTTTCATAAAACAGATATAAGGTTAAGTAGACAAATATAATTATGTTTAAAAGTCTGCTTTCCCTCCTTTCACTGTAAAATAATACAGTATTCAATTTACTTTTTTCCCCATAATTGAAATCAGAGCTGGTTTGATTTAAATCAGTTGATTTTTTATATATTTTAATCAACTTGATTTTTAAAATAAAAATCAGTGATTTAAAACACTTTTAAAAAAATGTATTCAGTTTTTACACATTCAGAATTCCTTTCCTTGGTTTTATTAAACAGATATAAGGTTTAGTAGACTAAAATAATCATGCTTAAAAGTCTGCTTTCCCCCCTGTCACTGTTAAATAATACAGTATTCAATTGACTTTTTTTTCATAATTGAAATCAGGTTGGGTTGATTTAAATCAGTTGATTTTTAAAAATTTAAATCAACTTGATTTTAAAAATAAAACTCAGTGATTTAAATCACTTTAGAAAATGTATTCTGTTTTTACATCTTTAAACATTCAGAATTCCTTTCCTTGGTTTTATAAAACAGATATAAGGTTTAGTAGACTAATATAATCATGCTTAAAAGTCTGCTTTCCCCCTGTCACTGTAAAATAATACAGTATTCAATTTACTTTTTTTTCATTATTGAAATTAACATTTTCTTTTTCACTGTAAAATAATACACAAGCACACACACACACACACATTATTGAAATTAACATTTTCTTTTTCTTTTTAGACAAACACAAGCACACACACACACACACACACACACACACACACACACACACACACACACACGCACACGCACACGCACACGCACACACACACACACGCACACGCACACACACACACACACACACACACACTGTAATAAAATGCAAGTTTATGCATAATTACCCCCCCCCCCTTCCTTTTAGACTGACATTTTCTTCATTTTTTGTCTGTAGTCATAATTCACAGATATATATATATATATATAACAGATTAAGGCTTTCTTTTGCGGTTGTTTAAATTAATCATTAGTTGAAATAACGACAATGCATTTTGCACTAAAAGAACATACTTTTAGCATCCAAAAATCCCAAACTGTGTCATTTTTTTAAAAATCCAAAAAAAAAAATCGGGTTTAAATTAAAAAAAATCTTGATTTAAATTTTTAAAAATCGATTTTTAAAATTTTTATTTTAAAAAATCAAAAAAATCACCAACCCTGCTTTTACTAAAATAAGATCTGTCCTTTATCAGGGCACCATGCCTATCAATAATGTCAACCATCCCTTT